CCAGACTCAGCAGAGTATAAATAACAGCCTCGGTCCAGTATATCTGAAGGAATGTCTCCACCCCCATCGTTCTGCCCGGACACTGAGGTCCAGCGCCGAGGGCCTTCTGGCGGTTCCCTCACTGTGAGAAGCCAAGTTACTGGGAACCAGGCAGAGAGCCTTCCCGGTAGTGGCACCCGCCCTGTGGAACGCCCTCCCACCAGATGTTAAAGAGAACAACAACTACCAGACTTTTAGACGACATCTGAAGGCAGCCCTGTTTAGGGAAGCTTTTAATGTTTGATGCATTACTGTATTTTAATATTGTGTTGGAAGCCGCCCAGAGTGACTGGGGAAACCCAGCCAGATGAGCGAGGTATAAGTAATAAATTATTATTATTATTATTATTATTACGCTGAAGCTAGCTGCGAAGCATAACTTCTTTTATTTCTAACAGCTACTACAAACTAAAGAACTACTGGCTTGCATGAATGTTACAGCTCCCACTCAGCCATCTAGTCGCTACATAGATAAGACTCTCTCCACACACAGAGTCAGTCAGTCAGTCAGTCAGGAGAAGAAGAGAAGAGCAGTTTCCACCCCCTCCTTTCTCAAAACATCAGATCAGGAGATTCTTGCAATGGGAGGGGGTGAAAATATCAACACTCCGTGGGGTGGGATAAGTATATATGGTGACATTGGGCAGTGCCAACATGCTTTCCTCCACCCTGCTGCATACTTTTTTTGCCCCCACATGCTTAGATCGAACACCGAAAGAATGCTCATAAATAGAAAAGGGAACACAGGGCAGAATGAACAGCAGGAAAACAAGAAATTGAAGTGACGGTCCTTTCATCCTTAGCTATAGTGAGCAAAGTTCTAGGCACAAGTAAAGAATGTTAAGGTAAGACTCTCAAAAAGATGCTTGTGCTCTCAGGTTCCAGCAAATGAAGGATTCTGATCAACACCCCAGATTCTCTTTTGTCCTACAAACACAAATATTAGGGGCTGTTCATTTATATTTAAATTAAGGTGAGGCGGTTCCAGTGAGCAACATAAAAGAGGGAAAAAAGCCTCAGTAATTCCCCGCTTGATGTGAGAGAACAGTCACATTATTCCACACAGAGATAATTTGTGTTCTCCAAAACAATTGGTCAAGCTGCTGTTAGTGGCTATTACCTGTGGCTCAGCAGGAGGATAATGAGACTGTGTGTTTTTCAAAGCTTAGATGTGTGGCATTGAGTGAAAGGGCATAATATTTGGGGGGGGGGGGTTGTATAAGATTGTCCAGCCACAACAGAAGAACTCAGTAGATGGAGCAAGAGATATCTGACTGGAGAGGCAAAAACTGATGCCGATAGGTTACGGAGAGCCCTAGGCTGCTCATTAGACTAAATTAGGGCAGTATTTTGTAAATAGAGGCAGTGCTGTTCCTGGAGACCAGGGATGGGGTAATGGATTCCCCGTGGGCCAAGGTTGACAGGTTGGGGGGGAACTGACCTGCCAATCATCTGACACAACAATGTCAGATGAACCATTTTTGCTGCCTTGGCTTGACTCCTTTTCTGACATCATCCATTGAGAGCTAGCTCAATTTGCCAGATGTTATTTTCTCCTAATGCCAAGGTTGCAGGTTCAATCCCTGTAAGGGACGACTGCATATTCCTCCCTTGCAAGGGACTGGATGATCCTCAGGGTTGCTTCCAACTCTAAGATTCTATATAGAGCTGTATGGGTTTGCTGTCAGGGCAGAAGGTGGGGAAACCAACAGTAGGTGGAGCCAGAGATGGTGGAGCCATCAGACACACATTGGACCTGACAAGCAATACAGTGGTACCTTGGTTCTCAAACGCCTTGGTTCTCAAATAACTTGGAAGCCAAACACTGCAAACCCAGAAGTAAGTGTTCCGGTTTGCGAACTATTTTTTGGAAGCTGAACATGCTCCATTTTGAATGTTACGCTTCCAAATTGAGTGCCACACTTCCATTTTGAATGTTACACTGAGGTCTGTCTGTTTTTGCTATTTATTTTGCATTTTTGTTCTTGCGGCTCTTTTTGTTCTGTTTTTGTGACTGTGTGGAACCCAGTTCAGCTACTGATTGATTGATTGTGTGACTGCAGTACCTTGTTTATTGCTTTCGTTTTATGGATCAATGTTCTCATTAGATAGCAAAATTCATGTTACATTGCTGTTTTAGGGGTTGTTTTTAAAAGTCTGGACTGGATTAATCCATTTTGCATTACTTTCTATGGGAAAGTGCGCCTTGGTTTTGGAACGTTTTGGTTTTGGAATGGACTTCCGGAATGGATTAAGTTTGAGAACCAAGGTACCACTGTAGACATTCACAGAGTTCAAGCTTGAATTCCAGCCAAGCAGAAGCACTCAGGGTGCAAAGCATGGCGAGGACTGGAGAGAGTTCCGAGGGCCAAACAGAGAGCAATGCATTTGTGATTACTTGGCCTTGGTTTAAAGGGGGGTTACTAGGGTACAGATCACCATGGCCAGCTTATGCCTTGTCCAGGAATGGCCACAGCTGGCCAGCCACTTTGAGTTGCACGTGCATGCAACATTTCAGTTGAACACTGCTTTGCTTCAAAACAGCTCAAGGAAGAATTTCTGAGCATCTAATTTTGCTAACTTTATGGAATTGAATGAAGATGTAATACCACCGACTGCATTTATTGGCAATTAATGCCTTCTAAATGCCTTGCACATTGCGCATTACAGTTCATGGTTGTCGGTTAAAGTTATAGCATATTAAATTTGAGCACCTTGTTCCAAAAAAACGAGTCAGAGATGAATTAAGGTTTTTTAAAATCTCGCCAGGTGGGAAGTGCATAAGCAAGATTAATGGATAAAGCTCATATATAAGAATTCCACCCCACCCCCCTTTAAAAAGAAAAGAAAAAGAACCTAAATGATAAAGGTCAGCATGTAATATTTACAGCACCTAAGAAAGATAAGGAGAATAAAGGGAATTCAATAGATAAAGTTATTTTATTTAAAGCCACCTTGATATACTTGCCTCTCTCTCATTATAAATGAAACAGGGATAAAAATTAAAATAAAAGAACAGAAGAGAAATATGTTTGCTAAGGTCACATTTGAGCTTCCTTTTGGAGTAAATTTATTGCTAGTCATTCTTATATCTAAATTGATGGCACGAGCCTGTAACAGGCTTCAGAGAAATGCTATAGCTCATTGTTGGAGAATCTGCTTTGCATACAGACAACACCAGGTCCATCCCTGGCACTCTTGACTTCTGGCTAGTTCCATTGCTCCTGGTTCTCAGCTACTGGCTCAGTTCAGAGTTCTGCTCCCAGCATGGAAGTGCGCGCAACCTCTCCAGCCGGGAGAGGCTGCGCAAGGCTAAAGAAGCCAAGACAGCGAGCGCGATCCATCCCGCTGGCTGTCTTGGCTTCTTTAGCCGTGTGCAGCCTCTCTGGCCGGGAGAGGCTGCATGTGGCTATGGCAATTCCCCCACCTCCCACAAAAGCCCACAGGAGCTGCACACCCTTTAAGGAGCGCGCAGCTCCTGCGGGCTTTTCTACGAGGAGGGAGAAGGGACTGACTGGCCACGTCAGTCCCTTCTCCCTCCTGGGGAAAAGCCCACAAGAGCCGCGCGGAGCTTGTGTGCGGCTCTTGGGGGCTTTTCTTGCCTGCCTCCCCCCTGCATTCGCTCCATAAGACGCACACACATTTCCCCTTACTTTTTAGGAGGGAAAAAGTGTGTCTTATGGAGCGTAAAATACGGTATATCTTGTGTGTGTTTATGTGTGTGCTTTCCAAAAGCATCCATTCTAATAATATATAGAAATGTTGCCTGTTATTTCCATTATTGTCATGGCCATGGATAATAAAAATATCAATGAATGGCGGATATTAAAATGAGGTGTAGGTGTTTGGGTAGGAGCGTGCCCTGTGGATATATTGCTAATGTGAACTGGAAAATGAGGGAGGCAGTGATTCCTAGCTGTTCCTCATTTTAGTGTCCTTCCTCACACTCCAAAACATACAGGCAGATGATTGTATTTGAAGAAAGGAATAGAAATCTATTAAGGTAGAGACTCAGCAGCAGACACAAGGCTTGGGAGCCATGGTTCAGGAGTTCAAGAGGAAGGCCAGAAGTTCAGAGCTGGACAGCAGCAATGTGTATGTTGCAACCATTTCCATGCTCTACCCACCCAGCTTTTATGGATGAGGAATGGTGCACTCACTCATGAGACTCCCTTGCTTTGCAGGAATGTCAGGATTGCAAACACACACTCCTCCGGGGTGTGCGGGTTTGCTCCTATCTGCAAAGCCAGTGCCTGGTTCTAGGTGACAAGACCTCACCCTCCTGTTTGGGTTCCTGTTAAAACACTGCCACTTCTAGTTCCACCCCCCTGCTAGGCTGCTCCAAGCCCTGTCTGGCCTCCACCAAAGCTCTCTGCTCTGCACGAAAGTTGGGGGGGGGGGAGAGAGTTAGCATTTTTGCTGCCCCTTCCAAAGTCACGGCAGAGAGGAGAAATTCACCTCCATACCAGGTTCCCATCATACCAAGTTCCCATCATACCTCCATACCAGGTTCTCATACCAGAAATTCACCTACATACCAGGTTCCCATCTTCCACCTCCCGTTTCTTCCTCCTCATGGCCTTGCATTAGTACGTTTCTTCTTTTATTTAAATAATATTTTTATTAGTAATTTCAACATAACATTTTATCAAAAAACATTTCATCCTTGAATTCCCTCCTTATTTTTGCCCTCCCCAAGAAAAACCCAACCCACCCTCCCCTCCACCCCCAGACTTCCCTCAGCTCCTCTCTCTGGTTTATCAACATATATTGTTTTCTGCATGTTACAAAAGTGTACAGATCCTTAACTTATCTATCTAAATGTTATCAATAAAAAGTTTCTGAGTGTTTATTCAAAACCTGCCAAGGAGTCCAGTTTATTTTGTTGCTTCTTTAAATACTTTGTAAAGGGTTCCCATTCATCTTTAAAATCACAGTTATCCTTGTCATGTAGTTTGTGTGTCAGTTTTGCCAATTCTGCGTAGTCCATCAGTTTCTCTTGCCATAGTTCTTTAGTCGCATTAGTACTTTTCAATCCAAACCTGATATTGACACCTAAGCCTTATTCAGGTGTTGGTTTCCTCCCTGCAGTTAAGGAGAGCAGGGTGTTAAAACTACTAGGGCATTAAAATAAGGTACGAATTCTGCTTGTTGGATCATTTTGCTACCTTAAATTGTATACACATAATTCGCTCCCTGAAGTTCCAGAGAGCAGAGATGTACAGGCTTCCCCCACCCACCCCAGTATTTCACTGTCCCAAACAGTGGTGATATTTTTTGTTGTTTTGCTCGATCATTGTTGTAATATGGGGCAGCATTGCATAGTATTTAGAGTGTTGGAAAGGTAAAGGGACCCCTGACCATTAGGTCCAGTTGTGACCGACTCTGGGGTTGCAGCGCTCATCTCGCTTTATTGGCCAAGGGAGCCGGCGTACAGCTTCCGGGTCATGTGGCCAGCATGACTAAGCCGCTTCTGGTGAACCAGAGCAGCGAACGGAAACACCGTTTACCTTCCCGCCGGAGTGGTACCTATTTATCTACTTGAACTTTGACATGCTTTTGAACTGCTAGGTTGGCAGGAGCAGGGACCAAGCAACGGAAGCTCAATCTGTCGCGGGGATTCGAACCGCCGACCTTCTGATCGGCAAGTCCTAAGCTCTGTGGTTTAACCCACAGCGCCACCCACGTCCCTTTAGAGTGTTGGACCTGGGGTCAAATTCCCACTTGGCCAGGAAACCCACCTTGAGCCAGTCACTGTCTCTCAGCCTAACTGCCCTAGTGAGGTTGTTGTGAGGATAAAACAGGGAGTGAGGGAACCAATCATACACACCTTGGGCTTTCTTGGAAGAAAGTTGGGGCATCAATGTAATAATAAAATAAGTTGTGCAGAAAGTCTGTGCGATTATTGTGAGCTCCACATTGCAGACATTTGTCCTCCAAGATGTATGGAGTGTGGGGAGGGGCATTGGAATGTGACATAAGGGAAGGGGGCGACCAGTGCACCCCTTTTTTCCCCCTTGCACTATTCTAATCATGTGGAGAAAAACCCTGAAAATAAGTCTCTTTAAATCTAATGCAGTTCAGAAGTACGGTGAAAGGAAAAGATCTTTAGTCCCCCAACCAATGGTGTTTGGGAGCATAATAGGCTGAGATGTGGTTCTTCTTGTAAATTATTTCACAGCAAGCCCTGTTAGTTTAACAGGAGGCCTGGCTGAGGGCATCTTGTATGCTCCTGAAGTCCAAAGATGCCTACAGTAAATCTCCACCCCGTGGTCCCTTATGTAGCAATTATGCCTCTGCTTTTTTACTTCCAGCACAGTCACCTGGAAGAAGCCGCTTCAGATCGTGCTTTCTTTCTTCACAGCAGTTGTACTTTCAAGCACAAGTTTTCAAGTACTTCCTCAGCCTCAATACTTTTTTTTTTATGAGGATGGGGAAGCTTGTGTCATAGTGGAGGATTTTGAGGGATAAGCAACCTTTGCAGATGTTCCACCAAGTTACGCTAGATACCCATTACTGTAGTGCAATGGGTTTACATGCTGTGATAAAAAAATTGATAAAACTGCAACCCTAGGCTCACTTAAAGGACCCCTGATAGTTAAGTCCAGTTGTGAACAACACTGGGGTTGCGGCTTTCATCTCGCTTTACTGGCCGAGGGAGCCGATGTTTGTCCGCAGACAGTTTTTCCGGGTCATGTGGCCAGTATGACTAAGCCGCTTCTGGCAAAACCAGAGCAGCACAGAGAAATGCTGTTTACCTTCCTGCCGGAGTGGTACCTATTTATCTACTTGCACTTTGATGTGCTTTTGAACTGCTAGGTTGGCAGGAGCTGGGACAGAGCGACGGGAGCTCACCCCATTGAGGGGATTTGAACTGCGACCTTCCGATCGGCAAGCCCAAGACTCAGTGGGCTGTTTTTCTACTCCCCTTTTAAAACCATCCAAGTTGTAGGAGTCATAAATGGCTTTTTGCAGTTGATTAGTTGTTGAAATGAAGCTGAGCTGTTTGCTGCTCTCAGAAAGAGGCGCTTTGCATACGGCTCGCACTAATTTTGCCTTGGTCAATTTTGCTTGATCAGCAAGCCCAAGGCTCAGTGGTTCACACCACAGAGCCACCCACATCCCTTAGGCTCACTTAAAGGTAAAGGGACCCCTGACCATTAGGTCCAGTTGTGGCCAACTCTGGGGTTGCGGTGCTCATCTCGCTTTAGTGGCCGAGGGAGCCAGCGTACAGCTTCCAGGTCATGCGGCCAGCATGACTAAGCCGCTTCTGGTGAACCAGAGCAGTGCACGGAAACGCCGTTTACCTTCCCACTGGAGCGGTACCTATTTATCTGCTTGCACTTTGACGTGCTTTCGAACTGCTAGGTTGGCAGGAGCAGGGACCGAGCAATGGGAGCTCACCCCGTCGCGGGGATTCGAACCGCTGACCTTCTGATCGCCAAGCCCTAGGCTCAGTGGTTTACACCACAGAGCCACCCACATCCCTTAGGCTCACTTACCTATGAGTAAATGCCACTGAACCCGTTGGGGCTTATTATGATTCTGAGCAGAGATGTATAATAGGTTTGGGCTTTATTTGGCTTTCCAGACCTTCTTGATTTGGCTTTCCAGACCAGCCCCATCTGGCCCTCATTTCTCTCTACAGCATGTGCAGAATCCACCTTCATCACTGTTGAAGTACACTCAATCTGCCACAGCCTGTCTTCGCATGCAGGGGAAGTCCCTAACTCACTGAGGGTTTGAGACCTATTGGCTACCCTCACCTGGTTTAGCCGGCCAGTTGAAACCATTTCCAAGTTGTGACCACCACAGACTGACAGCTTCTAGGAGCCACAGGTGATAGCTGAGCGCAAGTTGAGGACCAAAGTAGGACAAACTACCCCAGAAGGAGCACAACGTGTTCCCCACCAGACATGGTACCCACACACCCCAATCAGATAACCAGTGCTAATAGGAAGCCCAAGCACATAACTTCTAAGAGTCAAGAACCACATAATTGGAAGGCACCCAAATGGGCCCTTCAACCCACCCTATAACATGGACATTTTATCTGAGACCCTTTGGAGACCCTTCTGAATTTGATAGGTAGGGTAGAGATTGAAATAAGCAAATATAAAAACAAATTGTGAGAGTACCATTTGTCAGGGCTTCCCCCCTCCCTCTTGCCTGCTAGAGAGTAAAATCTCTCTGTAGGAAGAGGACAGGGTGCATCTGGTGCAGTATGTTGTTGCTGTTTAGTCGATTAGTCGTGTCCGACTCTTCGTGACTCCATGGACCAGAGCACACCAGGCACTCCTGTCTTCCACTGCCTCCTGCAGTTTCGTCAAATTCAAATTCACGGATCTTTGTCAACAAGGTAATGCCTCTGCTTTTTGAGATGCTGTCTAGGTTTATCATCACTTTTCTCCCCAAAAGCAGGAGTCTTTTAATTTCATGACTGCTGTCACCATCTGCTGTCACCATCTCCATTTCTTCCCCTTCTGTTTGCCAGGAGGTGATGGTCCCTCTGTCCCTTCGAAATCCAGCTTGTACTTTTGGGAGTCCTCGGTCCACATACTGCTTTAGCCTGCCTTGTTGAATTTTGAGCATAACTTTGCTAGCGGGTGAAATGAGCGCAATTGTGTGGTAGCTGGAGCATTCTTTGGCACTGCCCTTTTTGGGGTCTCTAGCATGCAAATGTGTAAATGCTTGCACATCATTGCTAAGGGCAGAGCAAAATCAGCAGCACTCCACAAGCTTCAGCTAGCAAGGTTCATTTCAAATGGTCGATAACAGAGCATGGAATGATTGTGTGTAGTTTTTAACAAGAGCAAGCTCTCTTGCTTTCAAGACAGCTGATTGCAGGGTAAATGGATACCATCAGGTGGAGAGGAGCCTTCGGCGATGTGTAATGGAGTTGGGGCGGGGGGCGGAGGACGTGGAAGATCAGCCGTTATCCTTGGTGTGAGAATAGGAGTGTGGCAAGTAGATAAAAGTGTCACGGTTCTAATCTGCGAAATATCAGAGTGCTTTTAAAAGGCTGCATTTTGCTGTGGCAGAGCATTTGTGCTGAGCACTTCTGTTGGCTTTCTTCTCACAAACAGAGGGCGATGTGGTTACCATGCTTGTGAGAACAATATCCCTTTAAGTGGGTTGTGTTTTAGGGAACTAGATGAGGCTGGAAGGGGCCTCTGGATAAAGGAATGATTGAGCAAGAGAGAAGCTATGACTTCCTTAAACAGAGACTCTTCACTCTGTAATTAGCTAATAAAGTTTATCTTACGTTTATGGACATCCTGGATTCTGAAAGTTATTAATACAAGAACAACACAAGGCTGTTGTCAGGTGGAGGGTGACAGTCATAGGGCTGAGCCCAGAGAAGGGAAGTTTAAGGGGAGACATAGCAGCCTCCCAATATCTGGAGGGCTTGCCACAGAGAAAGCGGGGCAGGTTTGTTCTCCATTGCGCCAAAGGGCACAGCTAGTATTTGTGGGTGGAAATTGCAGAGTGGTTTGCCAACCAATCCATCTTCCCAGGACACTGTGGGAACTGCACGTCTGTGCAGGGCATGGGGTCTCCTAGAATTTCTCAGCACCCTTAAACTAACAACTATTCCCAATATTCTCTGGGTGAAGACATGAAGTAGTTTGCTTCTCCTTTAAATGTATAAGGCAGATGGGGCCTCAGTGTTTTACAATGGGTACTGGATGGCCATAATCTTGAACAGATCAAATACTTCAGTTATCTAGGGCTCACATTCCATCATACAGGATCTTGGAAGCACCACTGGCAAACCTCCCTTCAAAAGGCGGAGATCACAAAGCTAGCCATACTCAGATTCTTTTTCACAAAGGGCGGCAAATATGTTCCAGCAGCCTTAAGGTTTTTCAACGCAAAACCCGTTTCCCAACTCCTGTATGCAGCAAATGTCTGGCATAATGGGGACCTGCCAAAGCTAGATGGCTTTCAGGCAAAATTTCTACGATCTCTGCTGCAGGTACCCAACTGTGTCCCCAACTCCATACTTCTGTTAGAAGCTGGTGAATGCCCAGTTTCAACTAAAGCATGGTGGGCTGCCCTAAAACATTAACTCAGGATTTCAGTGTTTGATCTAGGGAAGGGTTTGTACCAACACCTGACCAATGAGGAATTTGTCAGCAAATGGCAGAAAACCATGGCTAAAAAAGCCACCTCCATTGGTCTGTCACCCCCCCAACTGTATTACCTGGGTTATGAAGGAGCCCAAAAGATGTTAAAGCAAAAATTATGGGATAATGCACACAGTGACTTGCGATCTCAATCACACGCAGTCCGTAGTCTGCTGGCAGTAGGGGTATAATATGGGCATGTCTTTAAGTTAACATCTTACATTAAAAACCTGACAGTACCAAACTATCGAAGGCTTTTCACCAAAGCCAGACTAAACGTCTTTCCTTCTGCAGTGTTGGATGGAAGGTTGAAAGGAGTTCCCTACCAGGACACACTTTGCTCGTGTGCTCAAGACATCGATTCCATAAAACATATTTTGTTGCACTGTGCAAAATATGAGCAAGCCAGGGCTGAACTGATACTACCCTTGCTGGTACCTTTCCCGGGAAAATCAGAGGCTCACTATGTCAGGTTCCTATTGGAAGACCAGACAAATGCTAGAATATTAGCAGTGGCAAAGTTTTATCGGTGGTTGCAAGAACCAGTGATCCCTATATTCTGAACAAAATGCTTGTTTAACCTGGAGGTAGGCTTTATGAATTGTGTATTGCTTTGTAACGATTTGTTGGGTCTCTGGACCATAATAAAGATTGTTGTTGTTGTTTTACAAAGAGCAGTACTTCAGGGTAGGTTTTGGAAAACCCAGACTCCAAATAGAAGGCATAAGAGTGCTTCAAATGTGTGGTGCAGATGTGCCATAGGTAGCCATCTGTCAGATGTGCTGTGGTTGCATCCTGCATTGAGCAGGGGGTTGGATGAGATGACCTTCAGTGGTACCTCTAAACTTTCATGTTCCTATGATTCTAAGTGTCTTGGAAGACAGTGTAATATTCCAAAATGCACTTGACCATATGCACTGAAAATGCACTTGACCGTGACTAGTGTGAACCAAACAGGTACTTTAGCAATGCATGTTTGGTAGTTTGTCTCACAGGCTAACCCTACCTAGCTCTTTCACAAGACTCACAAGCAGTGGCAAATAGGAACCCCTCCCCCCGCCACTTCAGCATGCCCTCAGTCACCCCCCACTTTTATCCAATCCAGGTGGTGTCTCTGGCTGTCAGGCTCCTCCTCCTTAGCCTCAGTGTTGCATTTTTAGAAATCAAAAGAAAGGATGATGGGAATAAAAGTAGAAATAATTGGTAGGGGATATTGACACCAGCCTCTTGTCATGGACAGAACACTTTTTGTTGAGATTTAGGCTTTCAGCCCCTTTTCCACTCTGCAGAGGTGGTCCACACTCAGAGGCTGATGGATGCAATGGGTTTCCAGATGGCTAAGGGGGATTTTCTGGCTGATATGATCAGCCCTCCTGTCGAAGCCCTGGCTGATATCTGGAATATCCAAATGGCTTGGGCCATTGACATGGTCGGCCCTGAGTGCCCTCTCCCGCTTCATGGATCCCACTTGGCTCCCTGGTATACTCCAGAGTTTAGGGCGAGGAAGAAAGCTGGGAGATGTCTCAAATGCAAGTGGAGAAAAACTAGTTGAATGCAATTAAACACTGGTGAGGGCTCATCACCAAGCCTACACTGTGGCTGAAAAGGCATCAAAGAAGGCATACTCTGCTGGCTCATTGCATTCTCACTGTGCCATCCAGCAGAGCTTTTGCCGGGTAGTGCAAGGCTTTTTACAGCCTGGACCAAAGGAGAACCAATGGCAGCTCACTGTGACTAGTTTGCAAAGCATTTTCAGGGTAAAACGGCTAGCATCCACTGGGACCTTGACTCCACTGCTAAGTCAGGTGAATCTCAAGAGGTGTCCGAATGAAAGGCTATCAAATCATCTCCCAGCCTGCTTTTCTCCAGACCCAACTCTCTCACCTGCTTAATCATCCTATGTCCAGAACAGATATCAATCCTGTGAATATGATCTGCAGTCACTGTTGTTGCTTTCAGTCCTAAAAATGACATGTTGTCCCGCATATGCCTTGTGGTTCCTTTCCTTTGTACTGAAATGAATGGGGTGGAATAATGTGATGACAACATAATTTCACCACAGCAGAATAATGTCATTTTTGGCAGAAGTCAAACTGCAGCTCAGAAACACTGCTGCAGAAAAGAAAACAGAAGAGGGCAGAACAGAAAACATTACATAGTCACTGTTGACAATCATCATATTCCTTCTCTCTCTGCTCAGCCACTGCGCACCTTTATTTTGGCCAGACCAATATTTCCTGCACAAATTTCCCTGGGAAAGTTTCCACTGTTTTTCAAGTTGCATTTATGAGCAATGAAGCACTGCTTAGAATGTCAGAGTGTCCTTTCCTGGGATTGGTGCGCCGCCTCATCTTGCTTCGCAATGTTTTATCTTTATTATACACACATCGACATTACGTGGCCTCGTGGAAAATTCATTTCACTCTATCCCAAACAGGTATACTGTAATACCTCAGAGACTGGTAGGTTCACATATGATTCTCCCCTCCCCATCCCTTTGTGACCAGGCAAAAGTATGCTGTGTATTTCAAAACTGCGAAAATGCTTTCAAATATTTAAATCTGTGATTCTTGGTGAATAAAAGTGGGTCTCCATTCTAAGGGTCAGGCAGTTGCTAAATGAAATCGGGAACCTGACAGCAGTGCGGGATCTTCCAGAAACCTGCTTGACCCACATTTGTTCCCATGTTTTGAAATTATTATGATTATTTAAATTTCTATACTGCCCTTCATCTGAAGAACACGGGACAGTTTACAATATAAGAACACAAAAATACATACCAGCATAATGTACAAAAAGAATAACCACACCAGCATGCACGGTTTAAAATGCCACAGATTGTTTAATTAGCCAAAGGCCTCTGAGAAGAGAGATGTTTTTGCCTTGCTCCTAAAGATATGTATCAAAGGCGCCACATGAGCCTCCCTTGGGAGAGCATTCCACAAACAAGGAGCCACCGCAGAAAAGGCCCACTCTTATATTGCTGGCCTCTGGACCTCTCATGGAAGAGGCACAAGAAGAAGGGCCTCAGATGATGACTGAAGGGTGCAGATGGGGGGGGGCGGGGGTAATTGAGGTATTGTGGTCCAGAGCCATTTAAGGCTTAATAGGCCAAAACCAACACTTTGGATTGGGCCTGGAAACTAACTGGCAGCCATTGCAGTTGGGTGGGCCAGAATTGGTGTTACATGCTCAAACTGTCTTGCCCCAGTCAGCAACCCAGCAGTTTATTTTCTGCTACTCCAAAGTTTCCTTATAAAATTAGGCTGCTCATGAGTTCCTGCATTGCATGGAGCTGGACCCTTTCAGATCTCTTCCAACTCAACTATTCTATGAATCTTTGAAATTGACCTATGAAAATTCACCTTTTAGTGTGAATTTCTCCTAAATACACATCTTAAATAATAATAATAATAATAATAATAATAATAATAATAATAATAATAAAATTTATTTATATCCCGCCCTCCCCAGCCGAAGCCGGGCTCAGGGAGGCTAACAACAATAAAACAGTACAAACGTACAGCACAAACAACACTCTAAAATCATTCATTATAAAATTAATTAATTCAAGCCACTGGCAACCGTTGGGCCAGAGCTCCGCGAAGATTGCCGAGGGAGGGAGTCAGGCTGTGCCCTGGCCAAAGGCCTGGTGGAACAGCTCTGTCTTGCAGGCCCTGCGGAAAGATGTCAAGTCCCGCAGGGCCCTGGTCTCTTGTGACAGAGCGTTCCACCAGATCAGAGCCACAGCCGAAAAGCCCTGGCTCTAGTTGAGGCCAGCCTAACTTCTCTGTGGCCTGGGACCTTCAAGATGTTTTTATTTGAAGACCGTAAGTTTCTCTGTGGGGCATACCAGGAGAGGCGGTCCCATAGGTACGAGGGTCCTAGGCCGTAAAGGGCTTTGAAGGTTAAAACCAGCACCTTAAACCTGATCCTGTACTCCACCGGGAGCCACTGCAGCTGGTATAGCACCGGGTGAATGTGATCCCATGGCGAGGACCCCATAAGGAGTCTCGCCGCAGCCTTCTGAACCCGCTGGAGTTTCTGGGTCAGTCTCAAGGGCAGCCCCACGTAGAGCGAGTTACAATAATCCAGTCTGGAGGTGCAATTTTGCCTAACATACATATTTTTGCAACATTGTTTTCATATCATAACATGCTTTTGTATGTTATGCTCACTACTATATGCATTTATATGCGCACATCACTTTGGTTTATGCATATTTGTACGTGATGCTTTGCTGTAAAGTTACATTGTAATATTCAAGGAAGTGTAAATTTTGAAAGATGGGCTGTGCTTTGATTTGCATATTGCTTTGGAATGTGTGAATTAGGTAAGTTCACATTTAAATGTGAATGGAAACAAATTTATCCCTCATCTTTACAAAACACGAATGAAATTTGATATGTGCAAGGCAATGGATGCAGAAAGAATATCAATAGATTCCAAGAGAAGCCAAAGCGGGAATCATACTTTGCCATCTGCTCCTAATTTGTGTGGCGTGCAGAAAGAAATTAGTTACCTTTTCAGTAATGGGGGGAAAGTCATCATTTTAAACAGTAGGCTATCAGAATTTCAGTGGGTCTTCTGGGTCTTCTACTAAAAGAAGAACCAGCCTCTCAATGGGCTCCTTGTACAAATTGCCATATAAAAGAGTATGAGCCGCACAGATTCTGAAAAGAAGGGTGTATGTCTTCTTGTAGACTGCAAATTTTAAATGCAGCACTCAAAGAAAACAGCATATGGGAACCGGAATTAAGAGAAATCAGTAAAATTTACATAATATCTCAATAACACAATCTGTGCATTCTCTCAAGGGGTTGAACTTACAGTGCAATCTTACAGATCCAGGCGAGGAACTGGATCTGGATGTTGGTCCAGTTAGGTATATCCACCACCAAACCCTGTGGGCCAAAGCAGCTGATTGTCAGCCTTTTGGAAAGCAATCTATGGGCCTCAAAGCCATAGCCATAGCCATCATAGCTAGTAGCCATGGATAGTTTCCACAAGTTTGTCCAACTTTTTAAGCCTTCCAAGCTGACCACCACTGACTCCTGTGGGAGTGAATTCCAAAACTGAACCAGGGATTCAGGACACACAAAAAGCAAGTATATCATCCCAGAGGCGGAGCAAGGTGTGAAGTAAATGAGGTCCGGTACACTTCTGCTGGGACGCAGGTGGCACTGTGGGTTAAACCACAGAGCCCAGGACTTGCCGATCAGAAGGTCAGTGGTTCGAATCCGCGCAACAGGGTGAGCTCCCGTTGCTCAGTCCCTGCTCCTGCCAATCTAGCAGTTCGAAAGCACGTCAAAGTGCAAGTAGATAAATAGGTACCTCTCCGGTGGGAAGGTAAATGGCATTTCCGTGCGCTGCTCTGGTTTGCCAGATGGGGCTGGTCTGGAAAGCCAAATCAAGAAGGTCTGGAAAGCCAAATAAAGCCCAAACCTATTATACATCTCTGCTCAGAATCATAATAAGCCCCAACGGGTTCAGTGGCATTTACTCATAGATAAGTGAGCCTAAGGGATGTGGGTGGCTCTGTGGTGTAAACCACTGAGCCTAGGGCTTGCCAATCAGAAGGTCAGCGGTTCGAATCCCCGCGACGGGGTGAGCTCCCATTGCTCGGTCCCTGCTCCTGCCAACCTAGCAGTTCGAAAGCACGTCAAAGTGCAAGCAGATAAATAGGTACTGCTCCAGTGGGAAGGTAAACAGTGTTTCCGTGCGCTGCTCTGGTTCACCAGAAGTGGCTTAGTCATGCTGGCCACATGACTTGGAAGCTGTACACTGGCTCCCTCGGCCACTAAAGCGAGATGAGCGCCGCAACCCCAGAGTCGTCCACGACTGGACCTAATGGTCAGGGGTCCATTTACCTTTACCTATCTTCTGCACACTTTCCAAAACCGTATATGAACCAAAGCACAGCCTCGCCTTTGAAATTCACACTTTTCTGAATTTTGCAATACAGTTCTCCAACCAAATGATGAGAACAAAAATGTGTATGTTTTGGGGGGCTGTGCATAAATATGCATATATCTGTGAAATTAACACAGGGCTGCAGGCAACTCAACCTATTAACGTTTATGGATCTGAGTTAGGCGTGTCTATTGATTTCAACAGGTCTCCTCTGAGAATGGCTGACCTTGGATACAAGCCACCGAGTGCATTATATTAGGAAAAATTGCACACAAAGAGAAGCATATTAGGAGAAATTAGCATGAAAATGCTGGTGAATTTTCTCAAACAAAAAAGTTGGTGACCTCATGCAGAAATGTTGAGAAAAGCATTGGAAAAATAAGAAACAGAGGGAAATTGTGATGGAGAAATCCACCCACCCCTAACCGTGGCTTATGAGAAATTTAGAGTCCAACAACACCTGGGTTTCCACAGGCTCCCCATTCCTGTCTTAAACGACTGGGCAAAGAAACAGTTATTCAGAAAAAAGTAAATATACCAGATTTCAGCCCAGATCATAAGAACAGCTTTTACATTTAAAAAGGGTTTTCCTTTTTCATTTTAGTGGGGCAGCTGCCCTCCCACCAGGCAGAGAACAGGAACCCCATAATTTTGATGAAGCAATTTAAATGCAGATTGTCTTCCATTTTTCAAGGAATCAAAATGGCTAGCATCTTAATATTTAATATTACGGTGGTGAGCGCACTTCTCTCTGCTTTATATTATGCCCACAATATGAAACTGAGGACCAATAAACTTATAATGTGCAATTACAGGACCTGCCGAAGAAGAGGCCCAGCTGCTTCTTGGCTGGGGCCCTGCTAGATTCCTGCCAATCTGTTCTATGGGCTCCATAGCAAATGCCAGCTGTTTCCCCTCCTGTCCTCCTGCGCTTGACCTTCATGGGTCCCCTTGAAGTTCCAAAGCTCCACTTGTCCTCCCCACCCCCCACTTACCATCAGAAATGAATAACATCCTGTAATTAATAGTCGAAATGAAAGCAGGTCCATTAATGATGCACAGTCCATTCGTCCCCGTGGTGCATCATCTTTTTTTGGAACGCATGAACACGACTCCCTGAAGGTATGTACACTCAACCAGGCAGCTGCATAGCAGCTGAGATGGCAGAGTACCACTTCTGACCGGAGGTGGTGGGGGAATGAATCGTTCCTTGCACTGAAGCCACAGAAGATTTAAAAGGAGCTCGTAAAAATAAAATAAATAAAAGGTTCCCAGCAAAAGTTTAAAACTGGATCAGAAAGGCACTGATAATGCATGCTTCTAAAAGTGCAGCAGCAACATATGCACATGAGATTCTGTTGGGTTGCCATATTTCAACTTTTTTAATTATTGAGCTTTTGGGGGGAGACCCCAAAATAGTGGTTTTAAGTCTTTGGAGCTGTTTATCCTGCTTTTTCCATTGCGTTGCCATACATCCGGGTTTTCCCTGACATTTTGCCAGTTTGGCAAAATCCCCCAGACACCATTTTTACGTACGAAAACAAGGATGTGTCAGGAATTTTCTTGACATATGGCAAGCCTAGATGCTGTAAACCAGAAGTAACATCTTGTGCATTGCCTGTTGAACTTTGAGTGCTGAATTCATGTTCTACAAAATGTGTTGGTAACTTAAATGTATGTATGTATGTATGGTGAGTTCTTTTATTTTCTTAAAGAAAAAAATAAAATAGATGAATCTCCACAACTTCAATCTGAAGCTGTATAGTTCAGAAACAATTTTACCACCCTAAATGTTAGAATTGACCTCACCTCTTCTAGAAAGTGCATGGGTGAATATACCCTCCTAGCTGAGAGAACCCTCAGAGCCTCAAGACCCTTCATAATTAGTTGAGTGGTCCTGCTGAGCCCCTTATTCCTGAACTAAAAAGTTCAGGACTGCTCTCAATTTGCAAAATGATGGATCTAAACATCTCTTCTTGGTAACCCTACACACTCTACAAATCTCTGTTCACAATCCAGGGAGTTGGCGCCTCTCCTGGTATCATTAAGTAAAGTCAGTTCCAAGTTTCCCTTCCCTTTTTTGCATGGACAGACTTCTATAATATCTTCTATAATATGCACCCTGGACGAGGCCAAAATTTGGCACCCCCAAATGGATCTTCTCAATTATGGATCTTATTATATGGTATGATTGCCTCAAACCTGTCAACAGCTGAGAAGTCACATTCCACAATAACTGAAGCTCTGAAACATCTGGCATTGATTATGGAGAGGTCATTTAGCAAAGAGATGAAGAAAGAATGACAAATCATTCTATAATGATCATTATAGTGTTCATTAAACTCGTAGGACAGAAAGCAGGGAGGCCAACAGTAGGTGGAGCCAGAACCAACTAATTCTAGTTTTGTCCCCATCCTCCTTCCTGCTGAGTTTTACAAGGGAAACACTGAGACTAAGAGGAGGAAACTGATAGCCAGGGCAACCTTCAGGACTGCTTGTGAAAAGAAGAAAGGCAGATGGTATACCCTCCAACATCTTGTGACCCCAAACTAGGATGTGCGCCTTCCCACCAGTTGTCCTGCACGAGTCACTTGACCCGCACAAGATCATGGAGCCTAAAAGACGTGCTCTTTTACAGGCCATGTTCACCTGGCTCCCCAAAAATGTGTTTTGGGGCACCACACAAAATTGCTGCCCCCGAAAAAGTGCTTTATTTGGGGGAGAAATTCCTTTTTTGGGTGTGAGATATCAGCATGTAACCACATGAGATCACGGTACCCAAAATGGCCGTCATGCTCTTATGCAAGAAATGGTGATGTCCCTATTTTCCCCTCAGACGCTTGTGGGGTATGATATGGGGATTAGCTGAAGTCAGGCTGAGGTTGGTAGGGCAGTGCTCCATTGGCCCCAAAGGACCAGGCTCCACTCCAGTGAAATGGTATAAAAGCTGGTGTCAGGCTACAACTGTGTTGCTGTGTTTTCATCCTTCCTTTTCCCTTCCCAAGTAACACAGTGTTTGAAGCTGTGCTTTTGTTTTGCAGGAGTCCCGAGACATATTTGTCTTGCCCACCAGAAAAAACTGAGCCCTTCAAGTTTTGCCTGAGGCTGACACATTCTAGAAAGCCTTCAGGAGGCAAAAGAGTAGTGGCAATCAATGCCTGAGTGTTCTCTTTTGTTTTGAGTAAACTGGTTTTAAAATACACATCCAACTGCAAATGTCTGGAGATCCACAACAGTGGCTGATTATTTAAAATGGATACATCTACTTTACCTTGGTCTGTCACCTTGGCTGGGGGACTTGAAAAGTATTGTGGCCAAGGATGCATAAAGAAAACAGCTTTAATGCAAAATGGTTCATGAAGGGTGGGGAGACATGGAGCAGGTTGCTCATATACTTGCAGAACAGAACTAATGTTGTTGTTTAGTTGTTTAGTCGTGTCGGACTCTTCGTGACCCCATGGACCAGAGCACGCCAGGCACTCCTGTCTTCCACTGCCTCCCACAGTTTGGTCAAACTCATGCTGGTAGCTTCAAGATCACTATCCAACCATCTCATCCTCTGTCATCCCCATCTCCTTGTGCCCTCCATCTTTCCCAACATCAGGGTCTTTTCCAGGGAGTCTTCTCTTCTCATGAGGTGTCCAAAGTATTGGAGCCTCAGCTTCAGGATCTGTCCTTCCAGTGAGCACTCAAGGCTGATTTCCTTCAGAATGGATAGGTTTGATCTTCTTGCAGTCCATGGAATTCTCAAGAATCTCCTCCAGCGCCATAATTCAAAAGCATCAATTCTTCGGTGATCAGCCTTCTTTATGGTCCAGCTCTCACTTCCATACACCACTACTGGACAGAACTAATAGCATGATGCATTTGCATCCCACCTTTACTCCAAGGATCTGATGGTGGCATACATAGTTCTCTTCATCTCAAATTTATCATCAAAACAACCCTGTGAGGTAGGCAAGGCTGAGAGACTGTGAGTGGCCTAAAGTCACCCAGTGTGTTCCATGGATGAGCAGGGATTTGAACCATGGTCTCCCAAGCCCTAGTCCAACACTCTAACCACTAAGCCAAGCTGATTCTTATTCTAATTCATATACATTTACCTACACATTTAGTGCAATGCACACTTTCATATACACATTTACTGTGTCTCCACCCCCATCGTTCTGCCCGGATGCTGAGGTCCAGCGCCAAGGGCTTTCTGGTGGTTCCCTCATTGCGAGAAGCAAAGCTACAGGGAACCAAGCAGAGGGCCTTCTCGGTAGTGGCGCCCGCCCTGTGGAACGCCCTCCCACCAGATGTCAAAGAGATAAACAACTACCTGACATTCAGAAGACATCTGAAGGCAGCCCTGTTCAGGGAAGTTTTTAATGTGTGACATTTTAATGTATTTTTAATCTTTGTTGGAAGCCGCCCAGAGTGGCTGGAGAAACCCAGCCAGATGGGCGGGGTACAAATAAATTATTATTATTATTATTATTATTATTATTATTATTATTATTATTATTTCCTCTTTCATTTACACATACATCGGAAAACCACAGGGCTCTCTACATGCCCCTGCATTCATAGAGTTAATAGTCACCAAATTGAGTCAAAACATCATGAACAAGAATAACAAGAGATTGAGAATATGTCCAGTCACATAGATTTTGCTCCGACTTTTAGAATTCCAGATCCTCTCCACCCCATATAGGATAGAATCACAGAACTGTAGAGCTGGGAAGGACCCTGCTGCTTATCTTATCCAACCTTCTGCAATGCAGGAATACATAAATATATATAAATATAGATTCAATTTCCACTAGGTTTCTTACACCAGCATTTGTTCCTGCCATATCCTGGCAGGAAAGAGATGAGGAAGAAGGGGGGGGATTTTGGATAGATTGGCTCTTGGCCAGCGCAGGAGCAGTGTTTTCCCCTGGCAATGAAAATGATAGCATTATTATCCGCCCCACACATTTTGGGTGGGTGGGTATCTGTGTGGAGAATCTGTTTAACAAATACTGGTTAAGTGCTGAAGTCTGAAAACACATAAATACTACCAAGGCGACTTTGTCAACTCATGGCTGCTTCTTGAATTAACTTTTTCAGACAGAAGAAGACTCCCGCGAGTTATGTTCATGAATATGTACATGCTCAAAAGTATTGTAGGAATGAATAATGCATGCAGATTGCTTTTAGAGGGCCACAGCACTGGAAGATTGTAATCTGGAGAGAGTATCTGCATAGGTGGTGACTATTATGCATGCAGACAAATAGGCTCATGTATTTAAAAATGGAACATGCCTATGGGAATTGTCTCATGTTGGATGGTAGTGTGGAATGTCATAGAATCATGTAGAGTTCCAAGGGTTATCTAGTCCAACTCCTGCTAAAGAATCCCTGACAGATGTCCACCTACACTTTGTTTGAAGTGAGGGGGGAGCCCACCACTTCCCTAAGTAATCCACTCCATTCTCGCACAACACTTACGGCCAGAAAGTTCTTCTTAGTCTTCAGTTGGAATCTCTTTTCTTTGAATCCATTAGTTTGAGTCCTACCTCTGGAGCAGCAATAAACAAGCTGTCATTCTAGAACAATGATGTCCAAAGTTTCTGTTAAGGTGCAATTAAGTAAATTAATACAGTGGTACCTCGGGTTAAGAACTTAATTCGTTCTGGAGGTCCGTTCTTTACCTGAAACTGTTCTTAACCTGAGGTACCACTTTAGCTAATGGGGCCTTCCACTGCCGCGGTGCAATTTCTGTTCTCATCCTGAAGCAAAGTTCTTAACTTGAGGTACTATTTCTGGGTTAGCAGAGTCTGTTACTTGAAGCGTCTGTAGCCTGAAGCATCTGTAACCCAAGGTACCACTGTAGAATAAAATAAATAAGCCCAGCGTACAAACTTACTGGAAATTGCTTTATACCAGGCCAGATAATTTGTCTATCCAGCACAGTATTGTCTTCTGTGATTGGCAGTGGTAGGGATGGGCAAATTCAGTTTCTGTCTCTTTCTCACTTCCCCCCGCTGTCGGATGCAATATGCCTCTGATTACCAGTTGCCAGGAATCACAAGTAAGAAGAATGCTGTTGCACTTAGGACCTGCTTTGTGGCTTCCCATAGGTTGGCCACAGTGAGAACCGGATGCTGGACTAAATGGCCCATAGGACAGATCCAGCCAAGCTCTTGTGTTCTGCCGTTTGGCAGATCTTATTCCCTGTCTGGCCTTTTCTCTTATCACTAGTTTCCCTACAATTTCCACTGCTCTTTTCATGGGCATCTTGAATTCATATAAGGCAAATGACTTGTGAAACAGGAAAGCTATGTGCTTGTCTAGTAGACGGCTTGAACTTGTTTGATCATAAGGTTGATGAAAGCAAGCTCCAGAGGTTTGGTGTTGCTTGAAGAAAGTAAGTCTTGCATGTGAGTAATACTTAGTGACACAAGTATCTTTGCAAGAAATCAAGGGCCTGAGCCGCCTTCTCTGATCAAAGGTATGGAAATAGAAGACATTGGCTTAGGAGAGAGTCTGGACCATCAAATTATTCCAAGGAAGCAACTGCTGATGATTCTAGACTGGTTTGCATTTTCTGAAGTGAGTTTCACCTGGTGCTGGGGTTGGGGAATAAATTACAATACTTTACACAAACTGAAAGGCAGCCCCTTCTAAAAATTTGCACTTCTCTGAATTTTGTAATGAAGTTCTCCAGTCATTGAATGTGTGCAAAAATATACCAGGGTTAAGTGTGCATAGAGGGTCATATATTAGTAGTAATGCATTGTATTAGGGGAAATTGCTTTCCAAAATGTGTATATTAGGGAAAACTGCATAGGAAAAAAATCTGAGAAATTTCACTGGAAAACTAATAAATTTGAATGAAGATTTCTCTTTTTACAAATCAACAGATGTGGAAATGTGGAGAACTGAAAGGTAGAAAGATGAGGAAACAGAGAGAAATCAAAACTGACATATTCACCCATCCTTACCTAGTGCTGTATACATGGAGAAATTTGTGAGTGGCTGGTAGAGCTCTTTTAGAAACTGAAAACACAGGTGACACCTAAGTAGCAGCAGCTGCATCATGTTTTCCACTTGTGTTTTGAACACTTTGTTCAGCCTCTTCCAATAATAATAATACAGTGGTGCCCTGCAAGACGAATGCCTCGCAAGACGAAAAACTCGCAAGACGAAAGGGTTTTTCGGTTTTGCGTTGCTTCGCTAGACGAATTTCCCTATGGGCTTGCTTTGCAAGACGAAAACGTCTTGCGCTTTTTTCTTAAAGCCGCTTGAAGAGGCGCAGTTGCGACGGACCGTGCTTCGCAAGACGAAAAACATCGCAAGACGAAAAGACTCGCGGAACGAATTATTTTCGTCTTGCGAGGCACCACTGTAATAATAATAATAATAATAATAATAATAATAATTTATTTGTACCCCGCCCATCTGGCTGGGTTTCCCCAGCCACTCTGGGCGGCTTCCACAGAGACCAAAAATATACTAAAATGTCACACATTAAAAACTTCCCTGAACAGGGCTGCCTTAAGATGTCTTCTGAATGTCAGGTAGTTGTTTATCGCTTTGACATCTGATGGGAGGGCGTTCCACAGGGCAGGAGCCACTACTGAGAAGGCCCTCTGCCTGGTTCCCTGTAGCTTTGCTTCTCACAATGAGGGAACCACCAGAAGGCCCTTGGCACTGGACCTCAGCATCTGGGCAGAACGATGGGGGTGGAGACACTCCTTCAGGATGATCAAAATGCTTGGCAGTCCCAGCTGAGGCTCTCTGCTCCACAGAAGGGTCAGGGCAGAAATCTGACATCCCTGCTCCCCCTTACAAACCAACTGAAGTCAGCGTGAAAAGGAAAGTTCCCCCCGCCCCTTCGATCCAGGTTGCACAATTCATCCCCTCTGCCTCTTCCTCCATCAGTGGTAGCAGCGGAAGGAAGGAGATCTCTTTCTCTCGCCAACCCTCTCTCTTTCCCTGCCTCGCCCTCCTCCTACCACTCCCTGGTGCCTGGAATGAATGCTGCTCTAGTAGTAGTATCCCAAACAGCAGGAGCCCTGGGAAACAAAAATTTCCCAGGACACCTTTAAAATCTACACTATCATTAGGAACGTGATAAAAAATATCTGGAATGCTACTGCAGCAATGTTGCAGTATGTCTCCGTGTGTAAGAACAACTACCAGACTTTTAGAAGACATCTGAAGGCAGCCCTCTTTAGGGAAGCTTTTAATGTTTGATGCATTACAGTATTTTAATATTTTGTTGGAAGCCACCCAGAGTGGCTGGGGAAGCCCAGTCAGATGGACGGGGTATAAATAAATTATTATTATTATTATTATTATTATTATTATTATTATTATTACAGTGGTACCTTGGGTTACATACGCTTCAGGTTACATACGCTTCAGGTTACAGACTCCACTAACACAGAAATATTACCTCGGGTTAAGAACTTTGCTTCAGGATGAGAACAGAAATTGTGCTTTGGCAGTGCGGCGGCAGCAGCAGGAGGCCCCATTAGATAAAGTGGTGCTTCAGGTTAAGAACAGTTTCAGGTTAAGAACAGACCTCCAGAACGAATTAAGTTCTTAACCCGAGGTACCACTGTATTATTATTATTATATGTGGTTGTAAGAGAGAGATAGAATCAGAGATTTCCCTCACTTCTCACTGCCACCACAACAACCAGAATTGCTGCCATCTGTTGGGTGGGTGGGTTTGGATGGAGTTCTCCAGTTTGGATTAAATTCAAAGATAGAAAATAATTTGTGGGTCCATAATCCTCACCTCATATTGAAGGCAAATTACCATGGTTCATATTTCAAACGGCGACTTTGACATTGCTAATGAAAAATTCAGACACAGAGCTTGAATACCAGCTGGTTGGTTTAGTTAAAATGGGAGAAAAGAAGAAATTGAGAATGAGAGGTGGGAGGGGGGAGAGGGGAAGAAAGAGAATTCAAGAAGAAGAAAGCCAGTTGTTGCTTCAAGAGTGTTGATGAGCTATAAGGACTACACAATCAGAGGGGGGTGGGGAGGGAATTACCAGTCACTGTGAGACACAAAATACTGTAAGAAAAGGGGAGAACAATAGGAAGGTAGCAGGGGGGGAAGTGGCTTTTGTCAAGAGCCTGGCTATAATTACATCAGGAAGCAGTTTGGTACACAGTGTGACAGGTTTTGCTAAGCGTTCTACACCCCATGTACAATTAGGCAATGCAATTTCATTGTGTAATAACTCATCCTCACAATTACCACCCGGTAAAGAGCTGTTTAAATGACTACAGGGACTCCCACAAAGTGATACAATGGGAAGAGAAAGAGAGAAATTCTGAGATGGACGTGTGGTGTGTCCATTCAGGTCCGTCCCTCCCCGCCAAATATCTGTGGTACCAGCAGGATCTGTGGGTTGAGAACAGAACATAAGTAGAGCCTGCTGGATGAGACCAATGACCTGTCTAATCCAGCATCCTGTATCCTGTTCTCATAAGGGTCACCCACATGCCTGCTGAAAACCAACACACAGCACCTGAGCCCAAGAGGACTCTCTCTTTCTATGGTTCCCAGAAACTGATTTTCAGTTGCATTACTGCCATGGGTGATGGAGGCAGACCATAGCTATTGTGGCTAGTATCTATTACAGTGGTACCTCGGGTTAAGTACTTAATTCGTTCCAGAGGTCCATTCTTAACCTGAAACTGTTCTTAACCTGAAGCACCACTTTAGCTAATGGGGCCTCCTGCTGCCACCGCGCCACCAGAGCACGATTTCTGTTCTTATCCTGAAGCAAAGTTCTTAACCTGAAGCACTATTTCTGGGTTAGCGGAGTCTGTAACCTGAAGCGTATTTAACCTGAGGTACCACTGTAATAGCCTTGTCTTCCATGGATGTGCCTCATCCTCTTTTGAAACCATCCATGTTGGTGGCCATCATTGCCTCCTGTGGGAGTGAATTCAATAGTTTAACTATGTGTTATGTAAAGAAGGAAGGGACGCGGGTGGTGCTGTGGGTTAAACCACAGAGCCTAGGACTTGCCGATCAGAAGGTCGGCGGTTCGAATCCCCGCGATGGGGTGAGCTCCCATTGCTCGGCCCCTGCTCCTGCCAACCTAGCCGTTCGAAAGCACGTCAAAGTGCAAGTAGGTAAATAGGTACCGCTCCAGCGGGAAGGTAAAAGGCATTTCCGTGTGCTGCTCTGGTTCGCCAGAAGCGGCTTAGTCATGCTGGCCACATGACCCGGAAGCTGTACGCCAGCTCTCTCGGCCAATAAAGCGAGATGAGCGCCGCAACCCCAGAGTCGGCCATGACTGGACCTAATGGTCAGGGGTCCCTTTACCTTTATGTAAAGAAGGACTTTCCTTTATCTGTCACAATTCTTCTAACATTCAGCTTTCTTGCATGTCCCTGAGTTCTAGTGTTATGCGAGTAGGAGAAAAACTTTTCTCTCTTCACTTTCTCCATACCATTATAATTTCATAAACTTCTATCATGTCACCTCTCCCTCGCCTTTTCTCTAAACCAAAAACCCCCTCAAATGCTGCCACCTTTCCTCATAGTGAAGTCGTTCCACTGCCTTGATCATTGTAGCTGCCCTTTTCCAAAACCTTTCCAACTCTACAAAATCCTTCTTGAAGTGGGGAGATCAGAGCTGCACACTGTATTGTGTCTAACTAAATTCTACTCGGAGTTCTATTGAAATTAATGAACCTAAGTTAGTCCTGTCCATCAATGTCAACGGGTCTACTATGAGCAAGACTAGTATTGGATATAACCCAACGTGGTGGTTTTTTGTAGAATTATTATTATCATTTCATTAAATCAAACCTCACCTTTCCTTGAAGGAGCTCAAGGACCAGCCCAAGATTACCAAGTCAGATTCATGGCCAAGAGGAGATTTGAACCCACCTTGGTCTCCCAGGTCGGGAGTCCAACACTCCTCTAACCACTGTACAACAGTACCGCTCAAAGCCAGTGTACAAAAATAAATAAATCACCCTTTAAGGAAAATTGAGGACAGGCTGTTATGGTCCAGGAACAGCCACAACTGGCATACCAGGTGGAGCTGGTAATAATAATAATAATAATAATAATAATAATAATAATAATAATTTTTTATTTATACCCTGCCCTCCCCTGCCAGAGCTGGGCTCAGGGCAGCTAGCACCAGTAAAATTACAATAAAAACATAATGGGGCGGGGGGACAATTTAAAATACAGGTTAAAAATACAATTTAAAATTCAGCCTCATTTTAATAGTAGCCCATAGATCAAAACCATAAGGGGAGGGAAACAGAAGGGTCAGACTGAGTCCAAACCAAAGGCCAGGCGGAACAGCTCTCGCCGCGGCATTCTGCACCTGCTGGAGTTTCTGGGTCAGCTTCAAGGGCAGAAAGCACCCTTGTCCACATTGTCCACATTGGCCTCTAGTGACAGCAAAAGTTAATAATACTGCAGCCACATCCTACCCTAAATGCTGTTCTTTTCAAACTATCCTCCAAAGCAGCCCCATGTAGATCTCATTACTGCAGTCTACAGCCTGAAGGCTACCGGTACAGGAAGGCAGCATCATGCAGACTGGAGCACCCCACTCGCATCAGAGCAAAGCCTCATATCAGAAGATTGGGATATAATCCTGCAGCTATTTTTCCACCACTATCTGAATCAAAGTGGCCCTTCTGCCCCCTTAGCGCATGGCTTAGACATTTAATATTTTATAGCTTCTCGTGATTGCAGCAAATGTCTATTATTGCTTTATCGAAAGGTTTGTGCTGGGAAGAAATGAAGAAAGCTGGAAACCTAGAAGGGAGATGGTACAGGAGCTCCCCCCCCCCCAAAAAAGCCGCCAAAATGCCAGCTGCATATTTCGGAGAGATTGTGTTGGTGAGGCATAAGATGTAATGGAACTAAAGCAGGGGAGGGGGAAAGATAGGAAGGCCCCCAACCCTTTAAATGGTTGCCAGCGAAGCTTGGAAATCCATGCAGCGTATAAAATAGACCCCCCTCCTCCAGCCCAAATGGGAGGTGTCCAAATGAAACAGAATAAAAAGTCAATTTATTTTTTATTGTATAATCTGCTACAATGCATCACAGGTTCAAATGCTAGCCAAAGCCATTAGAGCTCCTGATTATTTATACTTTAGTCGATGATGAAGCCAAGGCGCCAGGAATTATGCTTCCTGATATAAAGATTATAATGATGTGGCAATTGAATTACGCTGTAAAAATCTATCGGTGATATACAGTTGCAAACTCTTAGTCAACTGGGCAAAGCAGCAACATAAATTTAGGTTTATATATATATAAACAAACAACTCCATAACAGTGCTGCATTTATTAAGCATAAGCCAACGCGTTTATCTTAATCTCAGAACGTTTAAGGGGCAGAGGAAGAAATGTTGAAACCAAAGTCTTATACCACCATTGCCTTTTGCAGTTGCATTTAGGGCTCTTCCATACTTCCTCTCGTCTTGCTGTTTGCCCCTAAGGAAACCCAATATCTACTACTGAATTGGAGCAAACTTCAGCTGGGTTTTCCATGGATTGATGTTTGCTCCAGTTAAGTGGTAAAGAGCAGGCAGGTTTTCCCAGACAAAGCGGGAAACTGCTTGAACCCGTGCCAAGAAATTCCAAGACCAGAAGAAAGCCTCTTGGCTCCATGCTTTCTAGGTACATGGCAAACAAATTGTGGACAAGCCTTTAATGTTGTTGGTTTTGTGGCCTCAGGATGTGATGAAGCAAACACTCAATATGGGGAATGCTTACATGTTACACTGAGTTGTTCATATGTGGTGTTCAGTGAGTGTACCGTCTGTGTACACAAGAGAGGAGCTTTGCAAATTCAACAAGTGTATACTCTTTCACACCAACACTCAGACAGGTGTAGAGACAGCTTGTAACTGTGTTCAGTGAAACATGTGACATCTTCAGATTTAGTGTAATTAAATTAATTTGTGTTTCCTGAAAGAACACAACTCCTAACCCATCTTTGTTTTACCAACTTTGTTTGGCAGATAAAACCTTTCTTATTTGTTCAGCTTCTGCCTAAGATTACAAATCACTAGGTTTTCCCACACACAAGATCCCAAAGATAACCCGTGGTAATTTATAAATTTAATTAGGTGGCGTACCGTGCAGTAGGGACGCGGGTGGCCCTGTGGGTTAAACCACAGAGCCTAGGACTTGCTGATCTGAAGGTCGGCAGTTCGAATCCCCATGATGGGGTGAGTTGCCATTGCTCGGTCCCTGCTTCTGCCAACCTAGCAGTTCGAAAGCACGTCAAAGTGCAAGTAGATAAATAGGTACCGCTCCGGCGGGAAGGTAAACGGCATTTCCGTGCACTGCTCTGGTTCGCCAGAAGCGGCTTAGTCATGCTGGCCACATGACCCGGAAGCTGTACACCAGCTCCCTTGGCCAATAAAGCGAGTTGAGCGCCGCAACCCCAGAGTCGGCCATGACTGGACCTAACGGTCAGGGGTCCCTTTACCTTTACCTTTACCTTACCGCGCAGTAGGTTCACTATAGGTTTAATTGGGGCCAGTTAACAGTGAGTGTGCTCTGGTCCATGGGGTCATGAAGAGTCGGACACGACTAAACGACTAAACAACAACAACAAACAGTGGGATCCACTACACCAGCAGTTTTCAACCAGTGTGCCATGGCATGCTGGGATGCACTGAATGATTGCCAGGGGTGCTCTGGGCAACACTGGCCTCTGTCCTTCTATCCTTCCCTCCCTCCTCTGATGCCCTCTGGGGTGTCTGCCCTCCCAAAGGCTTGCACAGCTGTTTGTTGCAGCAGCCCTGGCTACAAGCTCCCCAGGCGAATTGTGCCTCTGGGGCTGGCCAGAGGGTGCCTCTCAGGTACCTGTGGGGCAGTGTGAGGAGGCCCCTCTCTCTGGGGTGACCAGGGGGGCAGCTCAGAGACCAGGGACAGCAGCAGCAGCTGTCCAGAGGACTCTCAAGGAGAGGAGGCTAAGGGAACACTTCACAAAGGAGGGTGTTCGAAAAGGGGTGAGAGGCTGCCAGCTACAGGCAAGAGGTGACATAACTGGGCTCCTGGGCCTCACAGGAGTGCCACAGAAAGAAGGTATTTGATCAAGGGAGCCGTGGACTCAAAAAAGTTGAAAACCTCTGCGCTACACCCATCATGGTAGAATATGGATGGATCTGCTGCAAATGTGCCCCAAGACTTAGGCCTGATCCATTACCGCTCACAAAGCCTCCTTGAGATCCATTAACAACAATGAAAGCCTGTTTACTCTGAATGCCCTCGAAAGAGGTTAACACATTCTGTTTATTATTTTCACAGGAGTTACTGTCACAATCCCTGCAGCACTTTAAAGTGTTGTTCCTGTTCATTACAGCAAAGATTACAGACTCCTGAAAAATGGAAGGGGGGAGAAAAAGCAATTGTTTTTGACACTAATGAGACATTAATTAATGCCCTGTTGCAGTGGTTTTCCTGCATAAGTATATATCATACTGACAACGGTGTGATGGTTTCTCCTTTAATCAGCAACTGTAATCAGGACCACAGTGAACAGGAACATCTATCGCCTCCAAAATTATTATTTTTCTCAAATTCTTGTCTTGCCTGAGATTTTCTTCAGGTGGACAGAGTGAAATGCTTTGGAGAGAGCTGCTCTCCTCCTCCTCCTCCTTTCCCTAAATGTGGCTCGATCTTTTTTTCTCCTTCTTTGAGAAAAGCTGAACAACCGTTATCACTTCTAGCAGGAGAGAACTGGATCCTTTTGCTGTGGAGCTGATGCAGTAGTGATGAATGCCAAATCCAACATCAGTTTTAAAATAAGGGATGGACAGATGAGTCTGTATCAGGCTCCTGCCAATTTCACATTTTCTTTCTTTGGCTGGTTTTGTTAGAAGCAACTAAAACATCTGCCAAAATGTCAAGGGAATGCTCTAGAATAGTCACATTCACACTGAAAACTGCACATTCACTCATAAGTCTGTTCTATGACACTGTCCCCTTTCTGCAGTAATCTGTGTTTCTTTTCTGTATGCAATTTTTAACTTTGTATTTAAATAGCATTCTATCATAAATATATATTTCAATATGTATTATTATGAGTTTGTGGGTGCTAGACTACTATAATCTCTGGATCAAGCAAGTGTTAGAATTTAATTAAGGCTCGGGGTGTTAAAACTGGGTGCCAGAACAGTGTGTATTAAGCTGCATGCTAGTCACTTCTAATCCTTTGGAATCAACAAGTGTAAAAAACTAATTAAGCCTGGGAGATGAGCCAGACAACAGAGGATCAAAGAACTTTGCCAGACAGCAAAGAGGTGAGTGTACTCCCTCAATAGATAAAGGGCTAGAGTTTAGAGTAGAGTTAGAGGCAATGTGAGCTAGAAGCTTAGGAGTTATGTGATAGAGGAGCAAAGGAGCAGGCAGAGCAGGATGTCTGATGTCTGAATCCAGGACTGGTTATGGGAGAAGCAAGACCCTTTTGGGCTGAGAGCCAGTGTGGTGTAGTGGTTAAGAGCGGTAGACTCATAATCTGGGGAACCGGGTTCGCGTCTACGCTCCTCCACATGCAGCTGCTGGGTGACCTTGGGCCAGTCACACTTCTCTGAAGTCTCTCAGCCCCACTCACCTCACAGAGTGTTTGTTGTGGGGGAGGAAGGGAAAGGAGATTGTTAGCCGCTTTGAGACTCCTTAAAGGGAGTGAAAGGCGGGATATCAAATCCAAACTCTTCTTCTTCTTCTTCTTGTGAACCCTTCCATTGTTGGTCATCAGCTCATCTGGTTACTTTCAATTGTAGGAACATAGAAAGCTTCCTTATACCAAGTCAGACCATTAGTCAATCTAGCTCAGTCTTGTCTGCACCTCAAGGAAGGGGTGTGGGTCTCTCCCAAGCCTAGCTAGAGAAGCTGGGGATTAAACCATGGACCTTCTGCATGCAAGGCACCTAGGTACTCTACCACCAAGCCACACCCTTTGCTCAATGAATTCTAAATTCTAGAACATCCATGGCTGTTCTCCTGGCTTGCCCAAGTTACTGGTTCAGAATGGACATGGATAGCAGGGTCAAAAAAGACCACCGCCCCTCCCCATTTAAAGCTTTCTCCCATATCCTTCAACTAACCATCGTTCTCTCAGGTCTACCTAATGTACCTTTCGGAAATGGGCTCCTGCTATGCAGATGAGACTCGGGCCTTAGCGCTTCCAAGCCTGTTTCCATTTCACCAGAGGGACCTAGCCAATTACTCTAAACTACTCAAGCTGGTAATGCTAATTAATTCTGTTCGGCCGGGCACTCTAATTGCCCAGAGCTATTTGACAGCATTCTACAGATGTTCTGTGAATTGCTCTGCAAACTGGCTTCCACAGATATCCCTCCTGATAAAAGGATGGGGATCATTTGATTGATCTCTGTGAGAAAAAAAAAAAGAATTTTTAATGTCAACAAAACTCTTGCTTGAAACCTCACATTTCCCTCTTAACTCTTCCTGACCCAGAAACTCCAGCGGGTGCAGAATGCCGCGGCGAGACTCCTTATGGGGTCTTCACTGCGTGATCACATTCATCCGGTACTATACCAACTGCACTGGCTCCCGGTGGAGTACAGGATCAGGTTTAAGGTGCTTGTTTTAACCTTTAAAGCCCTATACAGCCTAGGACCCTCGTACCTACGGGACCGCCTCTCCTGGTATGTCCCACAGAGGAACTTACGGTCTGCAAATAAAAACATCCTGAAGATCCCAGGCCACAGAGAGGTTAGGCTGGCCTCAACTAGAGCCAGGGCTTTCTCGGCCGCAGCTCCAATCTGGTGGAACGCTCTGTCACAAGAGACTAGGGCCCTGTGGGACCTGACATCTTTCCGCAGGGCCTGCAAGACAGAGCTGCTCCACCAGGCCTTTGGTCAGGGCGCGGCCTGACCCCCTCCTCTGGCAATCTGCACAGATTTTTGCTTAATGGTTGCCACCAATTTGATTTTAATTATTTTTTATAATGAAATGTTTTTAGAACGTTGGATTATTTTGATTGTTGTTAGCCTACCTGAGCCTGGCTCTGGCCGGGGAGGGCAGGGTATAAATAAATAAATTATTATTATTATTATTATTATTATTATTATTATTATTATTATTATTCCCTGCCATGCCCCCTCCCCAACTCCTCCAGAGAGATAGATGAGCTGCATGAAAGAAAAAGGGAAGAGAGGAGGATGCAGGAACAAGTCACATCTGAGTGAAATTCAGGGCATAATCCTATAGCAAGATCTGAAGGGAGGAGTGAGATTAGGAACCCCACTTGGAGGAAATGTGGGCTAAAAATGCAATAAATAAATAATAATATAAAACTTGCCCATTCTGACACAGTTGGGAGCCAGCCAGCTCTGCTCAAGGTTGACGAGGCTCCTGACTGATCCACGGTAGGAGAGATTTATTTTATTATTATTATTATCATTTGTTTATTATATCCCACGTATTGCTCCATTTTAAGCAGATCACTGCATGAGTTGTTGTGGGGCAAGGCTGATATAAATACAGTGGTACCTCGGGTTAAGTACTTAATTCGTTCCAGAGCTCCGTTCTTAACCTGAAACTGTTCATAACCTGAAGCACCACTTTAGCTAATGGGGCCTCCTGCTGCTGCTGCCGCACCGCCGGAGCATGATTTCTGTTCTCACCCTGAAGCAAAGTTCTTAACCCGAGGTAATATTTCTGGGTTAGCGGAGTCTGTAACCTGAAGCGTATGTAACCTGAAGCATATGTAACCTGAAGCGTATGTAACCCGAGGTACCACTGTAGAAGAAGAAGACTTTGTATTTGATATCCCGCTTTATCACTACCTGAAGGAGTCTCAAGGCGGCTAACATTCTCCTTTCCCTTCCTCCCCCACAACAAACCCTCTGTGAGGTGAGTGGGGCTGAGAGACTTCAAAGAAGTGTGACTGGCCCAAGGTCACCCAGCAGCTGGATGTGGAGGAGCGGAGACACGAACCCGGTTCACCAGATTACGAGACTACCGTTCTTAACCACTACACCACACTGGCTCTGTATCATTTTGCTAGAAGCTCTAAAGCAGGTATGGTGAACCTGTGGCCCTCCAGATGTTGTTGGACCCCAGGCAACCTTGGCCCATGGTTGAAGTTGGTGAGAGCTGGAGACTGGAAGGCTGCAGGTTCCCTGTCCCTGCTTTAAGGAGGTTGCAAAGTCTATGATGAGAAGAAATGAATTAGCATTTCCCTGATGGGAGAGACACAAATCTGTCCCCCTCATTTTCTGGGCCCCGTGCCACTGGGCAAAATCCCCCTCCCATGACACTAGGGGCACCTCTACAATGTTCACAATTTTAATAATAACAACAATTGCTCAAAAAACTACAGGATGGGATGTAGAACTTTTTAAATTTTATATATGTACACACACACACCAACAACAATGTAAAGACCATCTTTGCAGAAAAGCCACTGAAGCTATCCATCCTAGGACCCACGTACCTACAGGGCTGCCTCTCCTGGTATGCCCCATGGAGGACCTTTAGGTCCACAAATGACAACACCTTGGAGGTCCCAAGTCGCAAGGTGGTTAGATTGGTCTCAACTAGGGCCAGGGCCTTTTCAGTACTGGCCCCAACTTGGTGGAACTCTCTGTCACAAGAGAGTAGGGCCCTGCGGGACTTGACATCTTTCCGCAGGGCCTGCAAGACAGAGCTGTTCCGCCTGGCCTTTGGTTTGGACTCAGTCTGACCCTTATGTTTCCCTCCCCTTATGGTTTTGATCTATGGGCTATTATTAAAATGAGGCTGCATTTTAAATTGTATTTTTAACCTGTATTTTAAATTGGTTTTTTATTTTTTATTTTTTTATTGTAATTTTACTGGTGTTAGCCGACCTGAGCCTGGCTCTGGCCGGGGAGGGCAGGGTATAAATAAATAAATATTATTATTATTATTAATATTATTATTATTATTATTATTATTATTATTATTATCATCATCATCCAAAATTGCTCTGGATTTGTCTGTACAAAAGAAGTGATCATGCTTGTAAATTTCACATCATTCTGCCAACATGTTTACTTTTAAAAAGCTGTGAATGACACATCTTTTAAATAAATAAAACTTTGTATGAACCAAGTACAAAAATGCATGGATCTATTTTCCTGTACAGTGGTACCTCAGGTTACATATGCTTCAGGTTACATACGCTTCAGGTTACAGACTCCGCTAACCCAGAAATAGTACCTCGGGTTAAGAACTTTGCTTCAGGATGAGAACAAAAATCGTGCTCCGGCAGCGCGGCAGCAGCAGGAGGCCCCATTAGCTAATGTGGTGCTTCAGGTTAAGAACAGTTTCAGGTTAAGAACAGACCTCCGGAACAAATTAAGTACTTAACCCGAGGTACCACTGTAATTTGAAAAGCTTTATTCACTCTGGAGGAACTAGTATGACTGCAAATTTCATCCATTTCTGTGAAAAGCAAAAAAATGCTATAGCAATTCCCCTACCCCAAATAGGGAATTTTAGGAAACAAACTTTTCAGAATCCAAATTGAGTCAAAAACACACACCTCCTGAACTGCTTTGGAGTAGCTTGGTCTAAAAGTGACAATATGTGGCAGTAGGTGGGAATTTCGCAAAGTTCTGGGGATGGCAGTGGTTGGTGGGCAAGGCTGCCCTGGGCAGGTGGCAGGGCCAATAACACAGACACACATACTGCCATTTTAATACTGCAACTACACATTCATGCTCATCAGTTCACACTCACTGGTATGCATCCTTCCCTCTTGCCTGTAAATTGTGGATTAACTTGGTTGGCTGGTGTGAGAAAGAGGATGGTAGATGGACTCAGCAGGGCTTTTCATATGTTTTTATGGGTGATCAGACAAAGTCAGGGAGCTCATTTCCTCACAAGAAACCCCAGAACAGATTTAAGGGGGCATGAGGAGTGCAGTGGGGGGGGGGAGAGGTGAAGAAGGGGAAGCTCCTTTGTACATGAAAAAGTCCTTTGAGCAGCAGGTCTACTTAGCAGGATTCTGACCATGGTTTCATGTCAAATGTACACTTTTAAAACACTAAATAGCAGCTTTTCGGGTCTCCTGGTCAAGACTGGTGCTATGGTGCCCAGGGAGTTGGGTGGGGGGTCAACTCCTTCCATGCCACTATCCTGACAGCAGGAGCTTCTCTCTCAAGCCAAACTGCAGTTTTGGGGGAGGAGCAGATATCAGAATTGCAGGACAGGAAGAAAGAGTTAACCCCCATCTGACCATGGTTCTGACCCTGATTAGACTCTCTCAGAGACTGCTATAAACAGGGCAAGAAAAAAAAGATGGACACAAGACTAACCTATGTGCTTAACACAGTTCAACATGCACAGTTCAACACAAAAAATCAAAACTTGCAAAAATTCAGCTCCATGTAGATAGTTCTCCATGATTGGGGTTAAAAATGCTTTACTGCAGTCTTAGACATTTCAGGCAAAGATATAGCTATCCTGTAGAAAAGCACATTTGGATTCATTCTTTTTCGTTGTTGTCTTTTTTAAAGACATTCTTCCTGGGAAGAATTTCAAAAATATTAATTTCGACGCCCCCTCATCTCACTGCAATCATTAGAGATCATTTTTATTAAAGCTGTAGAAACCGAAGGAGCTTTTGGCTCGAGGTCAAATACTGGCACGTTCATTTGCTTTTGCTCCTAAAAGGAATTGCTCATCATAAATGAACATTTGGAGATGAAATATGGAAATAAAAAGAATTGATGGTCACTCCTTAAGCTGGTTTATTGGCTGAATCCATATAAACACACAACAAAAAATGCCATGGAGTGAAGTCAGAAATAGAGGGCCAGGGAAGGTATAGGTGAATTTACATAAAAAGAAAAGAACAGCCTTCATAAAATGTTATGGTTGCACATATTGTGTACTACAAATGGCTCAGAGAAGGGGAATCATGCGGTGGTTTCATTAAAAGCTAAGAATATTTTAGCCAGGCAGTATCTGGGTCAGTTGGGTCAGCTCTTCTGAGCTTCCAAAAGGGGGGGGAAAGAGAGAGACTGAAATACAGTGGTACCTCGGGTTACATGTGCTTCAGGTTACAGACTCCGCTAACCCAGAAATAGTACCTCGGGTTAAGAACTTTGCTTCAGGATGAGAACAGAAATTGTGCTCCAGCAGCGCAGCAGCAGCATGAGGCCCCATTAGCTAAAGTGGTGCTTCAGGTTAAGAACAGTTTCAGGTTAAGAACGGACCTCCGGAATGAATTAAGTACTTAACCCGAGGTACCACTGTAAACGCAAGATAAATATACATGTGTCAAAATGTTCGAGGTCCCTAGAATTCTCAGGGTCTGGGAACAAACTGGCAACCAATGCAGCTTTTTGAAAACAGGGGTTATATGTGATCTGAAGGGAGCCCCAGCTCCTGGGCGTGAGAACTCAGGAAGCAGAAAACCCCTGTCCTTCCAGGTTTCAGCTTCAGTTTATTGGCCCACATGCAACCCATCCCCTAGCACTGGTCTAACAGCTCAACCGCCTCTCCTGATTCAGATGCAACTGAGAGTTAGAGCTGGGTGTCATTTGCATATTGATGACACTTCAGATCTCCTTATGACAGCTTCCCGAGGCTCCGAACAGATGTTAAATAGCAAGTTGGACAAGATGGAATCCTGCAAGATGCCAGCAACTCCTCTGGTGCTAAACAGTAGCCTCCCAAGGCTACTTTCTGGAAACGGCCCTGAAGGTAGGAACAGAAGCACTGAAGCACAATTTCCCCAACTCCCAGCCCCTTTGGATGCTCCAGAAGGATACCGTATTAGAGCCAGTGTGGTGTAGTGATTAAGAGCGGTGGACTCGTAATCTGGTGAACTGAGTTCGCGTCTCCGCTCCTCCACTTCCAGCTGCTGGGTGACCTTGGGCTAGTCACACTTCTCTGAAGTCTCTCAGCCCCACTCACCTCACAGAGTGTTTGTTGTGGGGGAGGAAGGGAAAGGAGATTGTTAGCCGCTTTGAGACTCCTTCGGGCAGTGATAAAGCGGGATATCAAATCCAAACTCTTCTTATTATAGGTGCATGAGCCCTGATCTCTTTTCCATTTTGCCACTCTCACGAGTCAATCCAGAGAAGGTGAAAGCATAACCACAATGTATGGCAGGGGCAGGGGCAATGCTAACCTGCAGAGCCCTGCCACTTTCTCAAGCATGCTATCAATCCCCAGGTGCTCATCTAAGCTGCCTAAACCACTAAGCCTTGGGCTTGCCGATCGGAAGGTTGGCAGTTCGAATCCCCATGACAGGGTGAGATCCCATTGCTCGGTCCCAGCTCCTGCCAACCTAGCAGTTCGAAAGCACGTCAAAGTGCAAGTAGATAAATAGGTACCACTCCACCGGGAAGGTAAACGGTGTTTCCGTGCGCTGCTCTGGTTTCACCAGATGTGGCTTAGTCATGCTGCCCACATGACCCAGAAAAACTGCCTGTGGACAAACGTTGGCTCCCTCAGCCAGTAAAGCGAGATGAGTGCTGCAACCCCAGAGTTGTTCATGACTGGACTTAACTGTCAGGGGTCCTTTACCTTTACCTTTTTAGCAATTCTCCATGGCTTTTTATTTTTACTAAGGCATTCCTAAAGGCCATAAATAAGGACAAATAGCAGCAAGGATTTGCCAGGCATAAAGATAAGAAAATAGGGACCCTCCCTGGTAAATATGAACATTGGGAGCGTATGTCAAAGTTTATCTATCTACCTCCTCTCATGGAAACCAACAGATTTTAAAAGTGATTGTATATACACCAAGGCAAAATTAGTGTGAGCTGTATGCAAAGCGACTCTTTCTGAGAGCAGCAAACAGCTCAGCTTCATTTCAACAGCTAATCAACTGCAAAAAACCATTTATGGCTCCTACAACACTAACACATTACACTTTAAACTGCGGTTAATTGCTAACGTACAGTACAAATTAGCGAGGCTATAATCCCTTAAATCACTACTTTTTTTGAAAAAAAATGCACATAAGCTCATAATTGTTGGAAGTGTTGCTCTATATGAGAGCGAAAGAGAGAAAGTGCGTCACAGCCTTCATTTGCAATCAAATCCAGTATTCAGCCTAAATATTAGGTAGCCTGCTTTAAAAATGTTGACAGCCATAGCAAATTCAGCCAATATGCTGAATTTGCTACAAGATCATCTGAAATCTATTGGTTCTTAAAAGACTTTGAAGCTAGTTACTTGAAGCTTGTTGTCTTCAGTTGGCATGTGCAGAAACCCCCACCAGCCCCATAAGAAAGGAGAGCAGCTAAGACCTCAAGGTTGCCTGTGAAAAGCTAGCATTAGAATGTAATGAGAACCTTGCTGCATCTGACCTGTGGTGCTGTGGTCTAAACCACTGAGCCTCTTGGGCTTGCCGATCAGAAAGTCGGTGGTTCGAATCCCCGTGACGGGGTTAGCTCCCATTGCTCTGTCTCTGCTCCTGCCAACCTAACAGTTCGAAAGCACACCAGCACAAGTAGATAAATAGGTACTGCTGCGACGGGAAGGTAAACAGCGTTTCCGTGCACTGCTCTGGTTTCTGTCACAGTGTTCCGTTGCTCCAGAAGCAGTTTAGTCATGCTGGCCACCTGACCTTGAAAGCTGTCCGTGGATAAATTCTGGCTCCGTCGGCCTGAAAGTGAGATGAGTGCCGCAACCCCATAGTCGCCTTTGACTGGACTTAACCGTCCAGGGGTCTTTTACCTTTACCTATTCCAGTATCCTATCTCCAGTATCACAGTGGACAACCAGATACCTATGGGAAGCACAAAAGCAGGGCCTGAGTCTAACAACACTCTCCCCACTTGTGATTCCTGGTAACTAGCCTTCAGAGGCTAGTAACTCAGGTAGTATCACCTGGGCAGCAGACTGAACAGGCAGAAAAGTGGTGAGATGTATTGTATTTCAATTTAAATTACAGTAGCTGGGTCATATCCACTGCTAGTCCTACTCAAGAATAGGCCCATTGGAATGAATACATATAACTAACTAAAGTGTCTTCAGGGAATTTCCCTCTGAGTAAATTCAGCTGGCTAGAGCCTGTTGCTTTTACATTTGCACCTGTGCATATAAATCATGGGTAGGCAAACTAAGGCCCGGGGGCCGGATCTGGCCCAATCACCTTCTAAATCTGGCCCACGTACGGTTCGGGAATCAGCGTGCTTTCATATGAGTAGAATGTGTCCTTTGATTTAAAATGCATCTCTGGGTTATTTGGGGGCCTGCCTGGTGTTTTGCGTGGTGTGATTTTATTTAAAATGCAACTCTGAGTTATTTGTGGGGCATAGGAATTTGTTCATCCCCCCCCCCAAAAAAAAACATAGTCCGGCCCACTCACAATGTCTGAGGGGCAGTGGACCGGCCCCCTGCTGAAGAAGTCTGCTGACCCCTGATCATAGCTGTCAACGTTTCCCTTTTTTTAAGGGAAATTCCCTTATTCCGAACAGGATTCCTCGCAAGAAAAGGGAAAAGTTGAAGCTATGCCCCTGATATAAACCAACATATTTTTAATACTGGGCATGGGTCAATCTAGCTCAGCATTGTCTGCACTGATGAATATGCATCTCCAGGGCTTCAGACAGGGGCATTTGCAGCCGTACCTGAAGATGCAGGTTATTGAAGCTTGTACCTTCTGCATGCAAACTGGATGCTCCACCACCAAGCCAGGACCCCAATAGAAAAGGAGAGGATGCTCTGAGATATTTCAAGTTCCTGACAGAGAGGCAGACCGTCCCCTGCCAAACTGAAGGGATGACATCCTGGTCCCGTTTCTACCTGCGGCTTGGCCAGGAAGGCTCTGATTCTGCCCGCCCCACCTCCAAATCATGAATAAATTTTCCTTGGCTGCCTGAAAGCATATCAGGTTTTGGAGACCCGCTCTTCTTACTTGCTGAACTCATGGATGTCCTGAGGTGTGGGAAGATAATGAAGGCGTAATTGCTAGAAATGGTGTTTGACAATTAGATGCATTTCACAGAGCTTCCTAAGGGGCAAAACAATTACTTTGATTTTGAAAATTTGGAACTCAGCCACTAAAACATGTTGTTTTCAACCCTCTCAGGCTCCCAGTACTTTTATGTTTTCATTTCACTGCTCTCAGGAGAGCCATTATTTCTCTTCTCTTCTTTATTAAAAGGACATCCTATTGCTGGCCAAATGGGGGATCCAGCAATACCCACCCAGAGCTTATTTGAAAGCAGAACCTGTGTTTTTCTGTTATTAGGCACAGAGGATCTAGATTAAACAGAAGCCATTTCAACCACACACTGACGTCTGTGAGGGACGCGGACAAGGGCAACATACACATTTTGAGCAACGCCTGCAGCCAGGGCATGCTTGCATTTTAAAAACCAATAGATTACTAGCTGCTAGCAAAGTGATACCAAGATTTATAAGCAAATGGGAAGGGGGAAGGAGCTGCTGGAAATACAACAGAGTATGTTTTGCTCCGATAGACGTATCGGAATCGCTTTCTGATTCCGACCCCCACCCGCCCTGCAAGCACAAAAAGAAATCTCTCTCCACAGGCACTGAAGCAGGACTGCGCACTGCAAACTTCCTCCCTGTGTCTTTTGGTGACTCACCCTCTGCCCACATGGAACTCCCTCTCTCTCAAACTCAGCCTCCTTGCGCCATCCCACCTTCTGCCCATGTCCCGTGACAGCTCTCACTCTCACTGTTGGCTCTCCTTCTCATGGACCCACCCTTTGCCCACACAAACTCCCACTCAGGTTCTCGCTCTCTTCCTCCCACTGAACCCACCCTCTGCCTGTGCAGTTTGGAGATAGGAGGAACGAGGAGGAGGAGGAGGAACTCAAGTACATGAAAAAAGGCATCCCGTTTGAAGTCCAAACAGGACAGGGGACATTTTTCTTGAAAAAAAGAAAAAAGGATGATAATGTTTTTCTCAGGATGGGTGGGAACCCCAAGCCCTTTAGTTGCTGCTGGACTACATCTCCCATCATCCCTGACCTTTGGCCGTGTTGGATGGAGGTGGAGTCCGAAGGGCTACAGGTTCTCCACCCTGACCTAAAAGCTTCCATTTAGCTTGAGTTCACTGAAAGCCCTCCTCGTTGCTCCCCCTTTCCAAATTTGCCAAATGAGGGGGGTCTTCAAAATGCTGTGACACAGCCACAGGATTCAAGCCCTGGACAGTGTTGCAGGAGAATTCAGGAAGGAAGAGAAAGATGAAAAGAGGAGACCTGAAACATGCACTTGAAGTAGACGTGAACTTGTCGCCTGTATCTGACCATGAAGATGAAGACCAAATGTGGGTTGGATGGACCTTCTCAAAGCAATTCTTTCTTTCTTCTGCAGTATTTACTTTTGCAATGTTGCCTGTAGAGGAAAATATGAAGGTGACCTATGTGGACCTGTTGTTTTGGCATGGAGAGTCATCTCCTTGATATTCTGTTTTAATCAATGTGGTGGGGGGAGACTGATCTTCATCCTAATTTTGAAGGTGCCTGGAAATCAGCACCACACTCAATAATTTAGCTTCAAAGTCCTTGCTTCAAGTTTCAAAGAGACTCTTAGCACTTTGAGGCTTGCCCATGAATGTACATGAAAGAGACACCTCTTGCGAAATCCTTCTGATGAGATGAGGAACCTCTGAGGTCTCTCAGGCTGGCACTAAGGTTAGAGAGATAAAACTTGCCGTGGATTTGTCAATCTGTCTGCAGAAATCTGGAAACTGTCTTGTTTTGAAGACAGCTTGTATATAAACTTTGTAGGGAAAACAGAAACCACCTGAGACTTCTGAGTACTTAACTAGAAGTTGTTTATTGGTTATGTGGCATTGAGATCATTGTATCAGGACATTAGTGGAGATCTTGTAGGTCAATTAGCCTAACTTCCTTGTGTGATGGAGGAAATCTAGTGTCAGAGCATCCCTAAGAGATGGCTGCTCAACTTCGTTTTTAAAACTTCCAGCTCCAGGGGAGGAGTTTGCAGCTGCATTGTTCCCTTCATTCCATGGGTTGGCAAACTAAGGCCCAGGGGCTGGATCCGATGGACGATCCAGTAATCACCACATGGATCGGCGTGGATCTGATTCTGATCGTTTGGGCTGTGCTATTCCCCACCCCACCCCCGCACACACACCACGGCGGCGTCTCCTCCCTCCCTCCCTCCTCCTGGCTTCTCCCCGCCATGCCTAGAGGAGGAAGGGGGCTGGGCTTTGTTGGTGCCAGCCCCTCTCCAGAGCCCTTTCGCGCGCCGCTCATCGTCCCTCTGCCACTGCCAGCCCCTGCCGCTCGCAAGACACAGGAGCCACAGTTGCCTGAGTTACCCTCTCGAGCGGCTGCCATTTAAAGCAGCCCCTCTCTGGAGCCCTTTGACATGCTGCTCATCGTCCCTCGTTCATCCCCCCCCCCAATATAGTCTGGCCCCCCACAAGGTCTGAGGGACCGTAGACCAGCTCCCTCCTGAAAAAAACCCCTGCTTTATTCATACTGCCGCTGCATTACCCTGATCTAAGCTATGGTTTTGCTCAGTGTTACATGTGGACTCATTTTTTTAACTCTTTCCAGACCAACCATGAGATGCAACTATGGTTTCTGCTATGGCTTGTGGTTTGTCCAGAAGGGCGAAACTATGAGTCTGGGTTTGGCAACAGTCTAAGCCTGATGAATGGTATGCATTTTTCACTCTAGTTAGATTAAATTGTGTTTATGGCTGTATAGGGAGCTGAGAATTTAATTAGATTGCTTTGTTTATTGGCATGATTGATTGATTGATTGATTGACTGACTGACTGACTGACTGACTGATGTATGGTGGTTGCGAAGAGTGAGTTGATTTTCACCTGTCAGTCATGGTATTTCTTTTTTCTTTTTTAAAGGGCTTTATGCTTTTTAGTTAATTTTCAGTTTTAGTATTTTACTTCTGGATGTTTTGTCTAGTTGTTAACTATTAATTTTCTTCATGTCTTTGTAGTCGTTTTTTATGCATAATGTTCCATTTAATACTCAAAACGGTCTCTTGTGTTTGTAGATTGTAGATATTTCCCAATATTTTTAAAGTATTTTTTTAAAAAAGTTTTAACATGTATTGTGAATGGCTTAAGATGAGCAGTATACAAATTATTCAAATACAGTGGTACCTCGGGTTACAAACACTTTGGGTTACAGGCTCTGCTAACCTGGAAGTAGTACCTCGGGTTAAGAACTTTGCCCCAGGATGAGAACAGAAATTGCGTGGCGGCAGCGGGAGGCCCCATTAGCTAAAGTTTTACCTCAGGTTAAGAATGGTTTCTGGTTAAGAACAGACCTCCGGAACGAATTAAGGTACCACTGTAATAACAAATAATAAATCAAGCCAAACCATGCCTTAGCTTTGCACAGCAGCAGAATGACCAGGGAGATGTAAAACTAACACTATCTCCTCTCTGGGAGACCACAGGCATGGATTGAGATCCCAGCCAGTGAGAGTTTAATGGCAAAGCAACATTCACTGAGAATTCACTGAGAGCAAGGGGCTAACTTTTGTGTATGAATTTACAAAGCAGCCTGGTGAACCTGCAATATACCAAAGCTCATTTAAAATTCTGAACCAGAGAAGAACTTTTTGAGGAAATGTCACTCAGTTAATAATGCAGCTAAACTTTAGGAACGAAGAAAATACATATACTGTAGCTGAGATAATGAAATTTTAGTACTACTGCCTCTAGATATTTTACTACTTACTACTGGTGTTTTACTGTGGGTGTCATCCTATTGCTGTTTTCCTTTAAATAGTGTCTTGTTTTGTAGTTATTGCTTATTAGATTGTATTTTTATCATGTGGTTATTATTACTTGATTATGGCTTTAATAGAAAAGCATGATATAACTAATAACACCTTCTAACACTGAATCCTGCTGCTGAGTATTGATAGGATTGCAGCCAAAATGGAGACACTGAGAAACATGGTCTGTGGAATCCTGAGATATGAAAAAGTACAAGCATTCTTCAAGGGGGGGGGGCCTTAAAAGGGCAAGTTCCACCCAAAAAAGACTGATGAGACTGAGCATGCTCAGTATCCACAAAATGCAGTGTGACTGTTGCTGGTAGGATGGACAGGAAACTGGGTGGAGGGGAAATAATAATAATAATAATAATAATAATAATAATAATAATAATAATAATAATATATTTGTACCCCGCCCATCTGGCTGGGTTTCCCCAGCCACTCTGGGTGGCTTCCAACAAAGATTTAAAAATACATTAAAATGTCACACATTAAAAACTTTCCTGAACAGGGCTGCCTTAAGATGTCTTCTAAATGTCAGGTAGATGTTTATCTCTTTGACATCTGATGGGAGGGCATTCCACAGGGTGGGTGCCACTACCAAGAAGGCCCTCTGCCTGGTTCCCTGTAGCTTTGCTTCTCACAGTGAGGGGACCGCCAGAAGGCCCTCGGCGCTGGACCTCAGTGTCCAGGCTGAACGATGGGGGTGGAGAAGCTCCTTCAGGTATACTGAAATGGTTCATTCTGAAAGTCACCATGGCTGGTGTTATGTATTGATGTTCTCACCCTGGCCACCAGGGGTATCATGTATATAGTTTACACTCAGGCCCATGTCAGTTAATTTAGGTGGGAAACCCTGGGTTTTTGTTGTTACAATGTTGACAGCCAGTTGCCTATAAAAGCAGGCTGGCTGAGCTGTTTGCTGTTCAATTCCGTTCCAGCTTTCTATAAAGAACCACTTGGAGAAATCTCTGTGTCATCTGCTTTGTCAACCCACTACTTAATAGCTGGCTTCCTAGAAACCTAAACAGGAGTGAAGCACACCACACCGTTTTGTTGCGGTCCCTTCAAGGAAATTAGTTAAAATTAGATTTGCTCAGGCTCAGCTTCCAAATAAGTCATACTCAGAGTAGACCCAGTGAAATCAGTGGGGATGGCAAACTTAAATTGGTTCTGACTTAGCTGGAGACAGCCCCTCGCTATGGACCTTGGGTCGTATCCAGTGTAGCGCTAGGTTAAAGTCATTTAGCAGTATGTTTGTAATATTTTGCACCCCTGAAATGTTGTGCAAGAGCAAGTTGCTGGTAATTTTGTGGTGCCAGAGATTGCAAGATCTGTTGCACAAGCAAAAACTTGTTGAACAACAGTTGTATTGGATTATTGTGCTGACCAACGTTAAAACTCATCATGCACTAGCACAAGAGTTATTGCGCTAGAGACTCTCCTCCCTGGAAGAGAGGGGAGTGGTTGTGGGCGGGAGCCCGAGCACCGCCCCTAGCAGGGGGCATTAGCCCCCTGCCTCCTCCTCTCACCTGGCTGGCGCCCACGCCCCCTCGGCAGGCATCCAACCAGGTGCCTTCGAGGGGGCGTGTTCAGCAGCCTTTTGCGGCGGCGCCAGCCTCTCCTCGGCCTCATTCTTCTCTGTCCTCTCGTCGCGAGTCACCCACCCTCCACTCCCTTTTAGCTCAGGGTCTTAGTTCATTGGCCTTGCTATGGACCTTAGGTTGGTTGCCCTGGTTGTCTAGGGGGCCTGGTAGGAATTTTTCCATTTGGCATTAGGCTTTTTGGTTTTTTCGCTTACCTCGTAGCAATCGTCACAACTTTTTGTGGTATTGGTGGGTAGGTTAGGCATTGGAATAATGTGTTGTGGTGTGTCGAAGGGCTGGGTGTGGCCATCGCCTATGCCTTCAATTTTTGGGTATTCCGTTAAAGGAATCTGGCGGTCGTGTACTCTGTCTGATGCCTGCTTGGCGGGAGGCCATGGCACGACCCCCGGTGACATCAGGGGAGAGCCTATAGTTGGATTAGCATCAACAGGCTCCACCTACTGGTGAATAAACCCCCTTGTTTTAGACATCCAATGCCTAAGCCAATACCTTTTCACTGCTGTAATCAATAAAGTTGTGGCCTTTTCTTGCCCATTAACCTTATATCACGTGTCCTTGTGTATTTATTTCACATCGCGGGGGTCGGGTCCTCAAACCACAACAGGCAGAGACTGCTGGATATTACGCTTCATTTTCCCCCTCTTGCATATGCAGAACATGAAAACTCACACATTCTAAACATCAAAACTAGCCCTTGCAGCAACAGACAAGGAGCCCTTTGACACAATCTATAATTAGAAGGACTTAATTTGGACCAACCATTATCCCAATAACTTATTTGAATGGAGCTAGATTGTTTTTCCTCCCTAGCAACTGAAAACAGCCCTGGGATAAATTACCGTCAGACATTTTACAAGTAATTTAAAAACAAACCACTCACAATAAACAAAAAATATTGTTTATGAATGTTTTATGATGAGATTATGGGAAAATCAATCTTTTCTCAGATGCCTGTTTAGGAGAGAAACACACTTAAAAAGCTCAGGTACTGCACCATCAATGATGTTTGCTCACTGAAGTTCAGCCTATGACAGCAATATTTC